GACCGCCTGACTTCACGGTCACTGGTCATGATTTTGTGTCAGGTGAATAATTTGTCACCAGGGAAAGGCAATCTAGATTTTTATCTCCCACAGAGATGTGAGAAGAAAGAAGGTATCTGCAGTTCCTCTGAAGATGCTAAATGGTGGCTCCCCAGACAAGTTCGTATCTCCCAATCCACAATTTATGTCTATCAACTTAAAGGCAGTGAATCTTCTCCAGCTTTAAGCTCCAGGAGATTCACAAAAAGGCATTGGCTGATGCTACTCTTCTAGATTTTGTAGGCACTGACCACCAGCGATACATCTCTCAGAAACTGGGTAACGGAGTGAGCGTGTATAAATTAAAATCCTGCTGTTTTCTTACTGTGAAGTTAAATTTAGAGGCATTTCAGTGAAGTTACTTTAGTACAACCTCATGATCAATTTGAAACTTAGTAGAACTGGACGGTTCAGTTTGCTATATGGCTACATAATGTGCTTCTACAGGCGGTTGGTATTTCTTCTCTGAACGTTTCCAAGGTGACAGTAGCTCATATATGGAGCTTTCTAGCTTTTAGGCAGGAAGACATGCCAATAACGGAATCTTAATTTTTGCAGTGTGGTTCATATCAGATTACGTAAAACAACTTCTCTGCCCCTATTCTATGATATGGATCAACGCTGGGCTGTAAGCAATGGCAAAACTTTGATAAGCATCTTACCAATGAGTCACCCGTACAGATGTAGTAAGGAAGAATGAGAGGGGCATTTGCTACCAGAGCACTCCACAGAGGAATGACCGGGGACGGCATCAGCTGGGAGTGCGCCATTGAGAGCCACACATCTGGAGTGAGACAATCATCTCCAGTCCTGGAACTAGCCCTGGCTCAGGGGCAAAGTGGGGAATTTCATCCCAAATCTGTTGCGCAGAGAAGAGAAAAAGAGGGCAAAGTGTCTGGCCGTGCTGCGCTTCATGACTATCAAAAAAATCTATGCAGACTGAGGGAGGAACTGGATGTTCTACAGAACATTTGGAAACAGATAAAAACTAGATTTCTCATCCAGCATTTTAGGTGAAAGGAAAATTAATGTCGTGGTTATACAGATATTTATTAAATAAAGACACATTTGTGTTGGGGCCATGGGACATTTATACAGTGCAAGTACAGTACAACCTCTGAAACGAGCTAAATATTCCCACCATGCAATTGCTACTAATATTCCCAAATCTCATTTATAAAAATAGGCATATGTGTGTAATTTATGTATCTCGAGACATTTGGCCTAGAGATGTTGCCACAACAGTCTTTCACGAGCTGTTTATGTGGAATCGTTGAAGAGTGAAACTAATTATCTGTGTGGTACATTTTTTGCCTCTAAAAATTATATGTGACAATATGACATCTTTACTTTGCTGGCAGTAAAACCACCTGTCCTGTTTAGAAAATGATCTAGTAAGAATATCAGGTAATGCAGTGCAACTGTAAAATAAACTTCAGTAATGTCCTTTTGATATGCTCTCAAAATGCTGAGGTAATAAAGGACTATGAAAACTTTTTATTTGGCCCAAATCACTGAGCATATTTCTCCTCAATCCCATCAAATTATGCTCTCCAATAAATTATTTTACAGTAGCAGTTACAAAAGTATGGATGACTGTGATCAGGAAAAAGTCACACCTGTTACATGTTCCAGAAGAAGAATACTTGACAGCTTTTGAAACGTGGGTTCCTGGTTTTAATTATAGTAAAATATTACTTCAAAGTTGTGACCTTTGCTTACTACTTGAGAAAGGGTAAATACTAATAAAAATTAGTAACTGTTAATACAGTAATAATAACAACTAATTATTTAATAAATAATAATATTAAATTATTTTTACTTGTAAAATTGTCCAGACGTGGGCAGAGCCCATCGACTTTTGATAGACTGACATGGTCAGATAATACGGAAATACTGACCTAGGTATCACGTTGGTCATTGTTACGTTGCTTTGCCAGATCTACCACAGCTTTATGTGTACAACAGCAAAGATGAAAGTTTGTCCCAAACTGCATAACTCTGACCTGACAGCCTGGTCATGTTGGAGCATGGTTTAATCCCATGCGGTCTGTGATGATCCATCTGAGCTCCATAGGCAAGGTCGGATCATAGGATGGGTGTTTTCATAAAAGCTAGTGCCTGCAGCCATACGGGTTGAGGAGAGGTAGCAATTTAGGAGAGTGACAAAAAGGCTTAAGAAACATTTTGTATCACGGGCCATCTTTTTAAGAATATTTGACAGTTCCAAGCCAGTAGCTAAAGGAAAGCTTTAATTATTTCCAAGAGGATTAGATGAGAAAGATTTGGGGAGCTTATTTATTTTGTTTTGTTTTGATGTTTTAATAGAAATTTTAATTGTTTTTTAATCTCTCTCTTGAGCAATTTTAATCTGTCATTGACTGTAAAGAGTTTGGGAAATTCTGCTAGAATTGTAGGAAATTAAATGTATTGTTGATCATTATTATTTTATCCCCTCTCTTCCCTTTGGCTAATAGGAATTTTGTGTGGGGGTGTACATATACATGTGTATATATATGTAACAGCCTATTTTGCTTAAATATGTATTTGTACACAGAATCAACTAAAAACAAGGCTGAATGACCTAGCATTTGCCCTTCTTGTAGACTATAGAGGATGTAATTAAGGCCCATATACATCAAATGCAGTTTATTTATTTGAGAGAAGTTGCACATTTATTTTAGGATTTTGTGGGAATGGATCTTAGAACATCTCTTTTTCTGAAGTACAGACACAAAGTGGCAGCTAAATCAGTTCTGTGAAAATAACATGAGATTTTGTTAAACCCAGGCACTATTATGGTGGTGATGAAAGACTCACCATACATATTTCTTTCATTCATGATGACATTATTAATCCAAATCTGGAGTATAAAACCTCAATCATTCAAGATGATTTCAGCAATTGGATAAATATCCCTATGCAATACCCAGTAAAATGAACAGGACAGTTTTTTCCAGGGATAGACAGAACCCTGATAATATACCTTGATTACCAGATTTTTTCAGAAAAAATATTAAAATCCTGAAGCTAAACATATTCCCATCACAATTGCATTGAAGATTTTGTGGGCAGTGACCTTGCTGTTTTTGGCTGTAGAGCCTAGAAAAAGGAACATAGTGGTAGAAGAAGTAAGGAAGAGAACTAGCTTAATGAATTTAGAGAAAACATGTAGGTGATACTCTTCCTCTTTTTCTTTTTTGCAATACCAGAACCGCTGACAGCAAAGAACTTTTTCATGGGATCAAAATAAGTGCTGAAAGTGTAGTTGTGGTAGAAATACAGTTCTTTCAGTAATGATTCTTTTAGAGGATTGCCATTGTATTTTTACCTGTTTTAATGGTCAAATTTGTAGCAACATCTATCCCTTTAGAGCATATGTTGCCATGATGTACTTACACCAACACACTCACACACTTATATGTTATAGACGTATAAAATACATATGTACACACACTCGTTCTAAATGTACAAGTTGCCTCGGCTGATTTTTGCTATTTTTACAGATGTATGCTGAAGACATAGAAAACTGTTCTTTTTTACTAGTAAATTAGATGACAGCTGTCTAGCCAGATAAAAACAATAGCAAGGAATTCTCAGAGTAGGTACATAGCTCATTGGAACGCCATCCTTAAGAGTAGGAAAAATATGAAAAAATGTCAACTGAAAATATCCTGGAAGGTGTAAATCTGTTCTATTATACAGAGAGACAAAATCATTCTGTTCTGTATGTCATCCTGTAAATGCCATTAAAAATCTTCTGGTTTCCCTCCCCCAAAAAAACAGTTTTCATGCAACCATCCAATCACTTGAGTTTAAATTTAGTTTTTTTCCTCCTTAGCGTGCATTAGCTGCAGGCATGACCATTGAAATGTGCAGAGGAAGGAAAAGATCAGTAAGAAAATACCCCCCCGCATCATTCTTACATGTTTATGACATATGATCTTGTATGTGCATGTATGTACGTTTGTGCGGGTACTATGTCCATCTGTACATCTATTCGCCTCCTGGATCCCACAGGGCTGTTATTCCCCTCACCCACCACCCCTTAGTTGCCGTTTGAAATATTGGTATTCAATAATAATAATACAAAATTAAGCATACGAAAAGTTAAATCGAGCATTTTACCCAGGTGCATCCTTTCATTTGATTAAGGTATCTGCACATTCATGTTTGCTTTACGATACAATTTCTTTAAAATGTCTCCTTCGCAGTGGTTCCTTTGTGGGTTGGTTCTAAAATTGTCATTCTAGGTTGAACAGCACCAAAAAGCAGAGGAGGCGGAGGAGGAGAGAAGAAAAGAGCAGATATGGAGAGGAAAATCGAGTTTGACCTGCAAGCAAAGACGGAACCAAACTCCCGAAAAGCCGCCCGGCCGGGCTGCCCCGCTGCCCCTCC